AAAGTAGAGCATGCGTACGTTGGCTCTAGAGCGGCAGGTGGCTGCCGTTGAACAAAGAGACAAGAAGCAAAAAGAACATGAGCCATCATCCATCGGGACAGCACGAGAGAGCTCTCGTTCACTCGGAAATGATTGAATTATTGAACCGATGTCCACTCGTTACACGAAAATGTGGTAATTCACGAAGGACATGGCGACGTGTGTCAATCGTTGATGCGTTCTTCCTGTGCTACCATATAAGGCGCATTTCGATTCGTTAGTTTTTTTTTTTCTAAACCAGGTTACTAAAATATAACATAAAGAAAAGAATCTTTTGTTATTAAAACAATTGTTATGGACATAATACAAAAATATAACAAAAAAAAAACACTTTTGTCGTTAAATCAATTGTTAGGAATATTTTCAAGTTTCTAGGCTTTAAAAGTATTTCTTAGAAACTTATGAATTTTAGCATGTAGCAGCCGATTAAATAAAACTGCCTTATTTTAAGAAAAAATAACACAAAGCATTCTTATAATAAATATATTAATTATATCTTTTTAATATAAAACGTGAAGGGATTACATGGGAAATAGGAAAACACACATGTATGGAATGTTACGAGACGATATTTTAAATTGAATTAATTAGTTATTATTCATATTTTATACAATAGTAATCATAATTAAGGTGTTTTAGTTCTCGTAATATTCTATATCCGTACAAGGGTACTCGGTAAAATCGATAAATTGGGGGTCTGCCGTGTTTATATCCTATATGTATATAGACGATTTTCTAGGCCTCTCTTGTTTCCTCTGTCTCTCGTTTTTTTTTCGCATCTCTTTACATTCTTATCACAATATCGTATTTTACACAGATTCACTTACGGCTTACATGCTAGAGGGCCTCGGTGCAATATTTACAAATGTTCGGTGTTCGATCTCCCAGCTTCAGCTTCGCTAAGATCCGATCGATCTCCGATGGCTTGCACCGAGACTAGTAACGCTAGTAAATTCTATGGACTCTTTATGCTGTTTACCATTCTCTCTCTCTCTCTCTCTCATACTTTCTGTCACATTAAGTTCGCACTCGTTTTCGCGCGCGGTGCAATCATAATCCATGTATTCGACAAAAGCGTGGCAAAGGTGAGCCGTACGAGCTTGATTTTGCACGCTATTTCATCGAAGATATCGGATCAATGTTTTTTTTACGTCGCAGAGATTCGTGTCTCGCGCATTATTTCCTGAAAATTGTACTTCGCAAATAAATTACGTTCATAGAAAAGTATTATTAATTTTTTTTTACAATTATATGATATTACGATTTTCTAAAGTTTTGTTTATTTCCGATTCACGTAAATTTACAAATCTAATTTTGTATATGGGAAATAAATTAATATTTCGAATATAACTGTAACTTTTCAGGAAATGTTGCGCTAATCTCGACAATAATATTCAAAACGCGCGCCTTGTCACTTCGACCACGCTCAATTGTTTTACGCTGTTTTTCGCATTTCCGGCTTTACACGCAATTTAGGAACTGAGGGGAGCTTCGTCTTAAATTATACACGCATATACCTTCTTATTGCACCGAATCAAAACGCAAGAACCCGTCCGAGAAGGCCGTCTCGTGCTTCCTAGTTTTCCGCAGCGCGGCTTGCGGTTAAATCTAACGGCACTTATTATTATACACGGGAGAGAATCGTCGTGTCGTTGTCACCGTCGTCGTCGTCGTCGTCGTCGTCGCCGGTTCATCCTTCGCGTGCACCCGACGACGACGTTGAACGTCATGACGACGTAGGAATTCCGCGCCGTTCCGGCGCAGCGACATCGATCTCCCCGGACCGTAGCCTACCTTCCAGCCCGCCTTCCCTTTTTCCGCCGCGAGGCCTTTACGCAAGCACACGCGACGTAATCGCGTACCAGCGTTCAACAGCAAGCGCGGTCGACACGAGCGGAAGGGCATAAAACTAGTTTTGTACTGTTCTCTTTGTGCACCATGGGGCGAACCCGGCAGCCTAATCCGCCTTGAGTTTCCGCGCCGCGTCGACTTGCGCGGCGCCGACGCCCTCGTCGATTCCCAGGGAATCGGGGAAATCGGAGGAGATTTATACGGGTGCATTGCCATGTGAGATGTCGCGTACTCAATCGCAGACTCTATCGACAAGCGTATTCGGAAACCGTATCGGCTCCAGTATCGCGAATACGATTATTTCAGATCTCATTTGCGATTGAGACAAGTTATATTTTTACTTACAAATGTATAGTAATTTTATGTACTGTCTTATTCTGAGATTTGTCGTTATATCGAGAATTAGACGCAGCTTTGGATGGTAAAAATTCTGTTAATTATACTGAGAAAATTTTTTCTTAGAATTTATCCTGAAAATATGACAGTTATGGGACAACATTGTATTTCGAAAAATTTTAATGTAAATCTCTCTCATTCATTGATAAAACAATAAAGTATAAAATAAGTTTGATCAATTTTACTAAAGTGCATGGTAAAAATCTTTAAAATATTGTTTTGTATTACAACTACCATATTTTTAGGATACATTTTAAAAGAAAATTCTCTCCGTATACAAATTCTGTTAATTACTATTATGGTTAACGGTGACATATCGATCAGTGATCTTGAAATATTCATAGGAGAGATTTGATGTTATGATAAATGTGAAGAAATTAATAATTGTAAGTTTCCAATGTTAAGTTTGAATGAGTGCATTAGAAAACATGTACATAAATTTACAAAATCATAGGAATTTAATATTTCGCAGACTTGAAGATCGGAGGAATGTACGGAACTGAGGTCTGACGGTCTCGGTGCACATCGCGACCGACATGTGCCGAACGGTAACAATCAGAGCGAAGGAAAAGACAGAATCAGGAAGGACAGGAACTGTGCGGCACCATGTGTTCTCATGAGACGACGACCATTGTTGCACTGACGAGACCGTGGATCTGGGTCAGCGGTGGGGCCCGCCCGACCCTCCCAGTTTCCCGCGGTTGCAAGCCGCAGCCGTCGTTTTTGCGGTTTGGCGTCACCTCTTGGAAAGCTAGATATTGTGCGACGCAAGATGGCAAGGGTGACCTAACATGGCCGACAGAGGATAGCGAAGAAGAAACAGCGTAAAACAGTCCGCCACATTGTTTACCCGCAACTTGAACGGCTTATAACGTGAAGCTCGCGTTCTACTCTTCTAAGACGGAATTCGAGCATGCTTGTGACGGAAAAGAACAGGAGATGCTATTTAGAAAAAGTCTTGATAATTCGAACGGATCGCGAGAGCTGTGCTTTCAGAGGCAGTAAATCGTTCTATTTGACTCATCATTAATTTATTGAAGTTTCCTTCCCTTCCGGTTTATTAATTTCATAATTTTTTTGAAATTTTTTTGCAAAATGTATACTTCACAAAATGATATTTTGTTGTAAACAAATCTATAAATAAATAAATATATTTTTGAAACTAACTATTTTTAAGATAAAAATTCTCAATTCATTACACAAAATATTGCAATCGAGTGAAAATCAAGCGGATTGCGTATTAAATTATAGAACTACGAAAGAGACTACAAATCAGAGCAACCAATCAATGTTGAAATTAATTCCTCCGTTTTCCGAAGTTCTCGGTGTATTTAAACATCGATGGCATTCCGCGTGTCGCCAACGGAGATAATGACTTTTTTCCAGCTTGCTCCTCTAGCTATTCGTTCCTCCGTTCGTCGCTCGTGTATTATTCTCCTCTTCGGAGGAGGCCTCCGGCCAGTTGCCTCATCCGGGAAGGAGGGACCGGTGATTACAGTGAGCCACCGTGATTGCCGAGATCGTTTGACTCACGAAAATGTCATTAGGATTTCATTACTTCCAACCGCCTTGAGGAACGACTGCTCAACGAGTTTATGCAACGTTGTCTCTCGCTTTTCCCCCCCGCTTCTCTCCCTTCCTCGTCTATCTTCCTGGAGAGGCCTCGCCAATCTTAACGTTCTTCTCGTTCATCTATCGCGCGAGATCCAGCACGAAGTAGGTCAGCTGCGCTCGCGATTGTTGGGCAACTGTCACAAAGGATCGACCGGCCTAACGTCATCGGCAATTGACATTTGCGAGGAGATAGAAATTGGTTTTCAGAGATGCACGATTGTGCCAGACTGGGCTGATTCAGAAAGGTGACGAAAATATCGAGCCGTACTGAAAAGAATCACGCGACCTGGTCTCGGAGTTTGTTATTTATCCTGGATGTAATAGAGACGAGGGCCCGGATGTGGGTCAGGATGAATCTCTAATCTAACTCGCGTTCTTTTCCATTTTTCACACAAATCCTGATATTATCGCCACTATTATACTATCGTATTAATCTCGGTAATCGTTAAAAGTCATTAGAAGTTAAAATGCAAGTAATTAAGCCAATTCATACTTTGTTTCAATCAAGTAAATCTCAAAATAATTCTTACTTGTCATACTAATCTGTTTATTCATCAATACCAATGTCGTCCAATGTAAGTCCTTAATTAAACAGAAATTATCTGAGCAGAAATGATGTTTACAAAATTTTACAATTTGATTTTGAGAATAAATATGTATAAGAATAATAGTGGCAATACTAAGATCAAAAACCTCAAATTTAATATTTAAAATTTTTACAAATAAAAAATATTATCAATTAGTTAAATTGTAAAATATTTCAATGTTAAAAACCAAGAGATAAATTTTACAAATAACTAAAAAATAAAAAAAGATAAAATAGGACGCATTGTAAATGTGAGGCTTCTGGTACATACATGTAGAAATAAAATCAAACAATATCAATTAATACCTAATTGTACACTGTTAAAAATGTCATGAAATTTAATGTACTTTTAACTTACATAAATTATTATAAATTTAATTTTATGACACTAAATTAAATTTAATGTAGGCTGCAACTGAAAAGTATATTTGTGTACATGTACAGGAAATTTAGTGTACTTTTCCGTTACATGTAACGGAAGCAAATTTCTGTTTTTTTAACAGTGTAATAATTGATGGTAACGTTGATTCAATACTTTTTCGTAGGAAACTATCCCGTAATTCATTTATTTGATTAACCATAACGATTAAATTCGGTATGCAATTCCACGCTTGACAAACGGCGGACAACAACATTTTCACAATAAAAACAATTGCTTGGAGGCAATCTCTGCTTATAATTAACCGTAGTAATCAAATTAGATCCGATGCACGCAATCACGACGGTCGACACGAACAGACATATAGAGAAGTCGTTTTATTTCCCAGGAAAAAAGATTCCTCGCGACTCTTATTTTTGCGACAACGATTACTTGTCAAACACGAAAAGCGTTACAGTCGTGGCAATCACTCAATCATACGCGAAGCGTTACAAGTACCCTCCAACTCGTAAATCGAACTTCAAGATCATCAATGAACAACGCTTATTCTTAGAGAACTCGCATTACGAACTCGGTCACGGGTAGATTTTCGGCGATTTCACATCGTAAATCGCTGTTACATTATTATCATCATCCTTTTTTATAATGTTACTTTTTACTTCACCGTACGACGATGTCGTTCCTGTCTTCCTCCAACTTACGTCGATTCCAGCTCGAGGAGGAAACATCCTCGCAGCACAACGAAACGGCGCGCACCGAAACAACGTCACTAATCAGTCAAGAGCCACTCGATGCACAGATCGTTCATGACTTCCGATTTTCCGTGACGTTGTCGACAATCCACATTGGCTGGAAAACTCGGGCGTCGGTCCTCTTCGTCAGCTTTGAGAACATCGTCGTCGATTAGCATTCTTGGTTGCATTTCTTTCGTCTCATTAGTATTATTATTAATATTTTGCTAAGGGACGTGTATCACACACGATGTCACACTGTTCATACCGCTCTCACTTCGACGGACGGCCCGCACGGATACCGGCATGCGGGTTTCATTATACGATTAGAAACAATATTAACATTCAATTTTCCTCGCGAGAGGTGCTACACATATTCACACTTTGGGGCGGGACCGCTGGGATACGTTCGCAGCGCCACGAAGAAGTGGCTCACCTAAACTCATTGTCAGTTCAAGGGACATCTTCGTTAAACCGCTGGCCATACCCTGCAAAAAGCACAGATGATCGTTTGATTAGAAAACGTTGTGATTATATAATGCAACATTTTGCGAAAATTAAGCCCTCCTTCTATCTTAAGGCTCCTGGGCCTCAACTATTTTGGATTGATGTCAGATGAGAGAAAAGTACATAAAGAAAAATTCTTGCAAACTATATTAAAATGTATATGCAAATATTATTTTATTGAAAAATATTTCTATTTTGATATATTTTTCAAGAATTTTAATTATTTTCTCGTTTCTGCATGATATCAATCTGAAGATCCGTGATGAGTAACCAGGAGCCTTAATATCTAGTTTTCTTCCAAATCCAAACTGTATACAAGTAAAAAATTGAACTGCTAACATTTTAATAATTAACTAATTTCGAACCAAGTTCAGTACCAAGTATGTTGCATCTTTCAGCATAAATCTACGGATACATCTATCTGTGCTGCATAATATATTTTTTCTATTCGATCTCACGTCGGTTCTCGCGGTTATTATATATTATTAAAGAGATATGCGGTAACTTTGAAGCTTCCGGAATCACAGCGCGATGAATATTACGGCAAGGCGAGTGAGGTAAATTTGTCGTGTCATGCTGGTTCTTAGTGAATAGGAGAAACGTCGCAACATGTCCCAAGGGGACACGTGACTGGCAGTACCAGTTTGTGTTGAAGCGCGTTGATTGACGCGTCGCACTTTAATTTTAAATTGAAAATGTCTATGATTGAGTATCGAAGTACTATTCAATTATGCTCACACAGAAATCGCCGATATGAGTTATAGCAATTACAATGACAAAGCTTATTATTATCAAATACATACACTTAAAGAACGTTGTTCTCTCGAATGTACGTGAAACACGATAGATATTCCGTATCTTAGAACGAGATTCATTTCATATATAATTATTTTTATTTTCTTAATAGCATCGTTATAGGTAAAAATCGAAATATAAGTAGGTATTGTACAGTTCATACAATCATTTCGAACTTTGTGAGCAACACTCTTCTGTTTAACTTTAGTCTCATTTTCAATCTCAAATCGTAAACTCAGTTGCGATTATTCATATTTTCAACAATGACGTCATAAGAATAGATTGTGCATTCCTATGAAGTTGTTAGTTTTGAAAAAAGTGAGGTAGCTTAAATCATATCTCTTTCTTTCACATATTGAGTTGAAGACAGATGCTGATATGCTCAATTCTTTCTAACAAAGCACAGATGCTGAGATCAAGGAGAATCCGCAGTCTATATATATTACGTTTATTGTTCAACGTACAACATTGGAAAGATTAGTTTTCAACATACAATGATATTCTAAGAGTTAAGGGCCACTTGAGATGCATCAATTTCGCAATAAACGAAGATTACATGCAACTCCGATTCGGAGGAGCAACACTTACGTGAGTAGTCCGGGGTTGGGGTCCGCCTGATACCAAGAGTACTGCGGCATGTAACCCGCGTGATGTGGCGGCGGTGGCGGTGGCGGTGGATGATGCCCGGCCGTGTGCGGGTGATGATGGGAATGGGGCGGCGCGTGTGGATGCGGATGGTGCTTCATCTCACCCGGCCAGGAGGGTGCCGGTGGGCTCTCGTTGTGCTGAGGCGACATCTCGCTTCCGGGGCTCGAGCTCCCGGGGGTGTGACCGCCGCCCCCGCCGCCCATGCCGCCGAGGTAACCCGTCGTCGGGCTGCCCGACACGGAACTTCCGCCCCCTGTAACACAAACGCGAACCGGGAACCGTTTCAGAATTGCTCCGAATCTCGCGGCCGCGTTGCTGTCGTCGCCGCCGCGCCGCGCCGTCGTCGTGTTGCTGCACATGCAGCTACATGCGCCTGAATGGAACCGGCGTCGCAAATTGTATTAATCGTGCGAGGGAGCGGTATTGTGCGATAATGCATCTGGTGGCTGCTACGAGATGGGAAAGAGTTTCCAGACGGTGATTGCGCGTTCGATTCTACAGGCTCTAAGTCAAGTTGGGGGTCTGCTCGGAGAAAGGGAGGTGTATATAGTTCATCCCTGACTGTACACGTCACGTTTTCGTGATATTCCGCCATTTAGGAGCGTTCTGATTTTTATCGTTTCCGAAACTTTGTGTTACCTTGATACTATTCTTAAGCACGTTAGAGTTTTGTACTCATTAGCGTAAGTAATGAGATGTATTATATAAAGTATACTCATATTTATATTCATTCATGTTTATTAATTTTTAACACTCAATCCATGAAAAGGATTAGCGTAAAAATTCAATATGTTAATGTAATGTGAAAATATATTTAAAAAATTAAACTGTAACAAAATTTACAATATAAAGATAAAATTTGTATGATATATCGAAACCATTATTTGAAACACAATGATGTGCATTGGGAAGTACATGGACGCTCGCACTAAATTTCATCATGAAAGAGTGGCATTCCTAGGAAGAGAAATTTCTCAAGATGAAGTTAATTACGTTGTCTGTGTCTTTCGTGGTACATTTCCGAATAAATCACTTACTAGGCAGATTTTCGAGATTACCGTTAGTCGCAGAAAGAGAGCAACGGTGAGGCAAGCGGTTTCATCGTTGTCGGCGATACGGGCAGTGGCAAAGGCGTGATAAAAAACGCAGACCGCGAAAATTGCGTCGGATCATTAGTATTGTAATTACGGAGCAAAGTGGCGTTCGTGGAGATTGCGGCGGCGATGCGGTAAAATGATGGAGCAGCCCCGTCAAGCGCGCAATCATCGCGTACGTTCACCAGTGACATTCAATTAACGCCCGTTATTCACCCAATTAAAAATATGCAATTGTTCGCGAAAACATCGTGAGAACGATTCAATTGATCGACGGTAAATTGATCGAAAGCGCGCTCTTTTTAAATATTAATTAAATACGCGATGAGATTTTTTTTTCATAAATTTCTTTTTGTTTAATTCATATCGGTGTATATTTTATTTACGCAACTGTAAAGTAACATACCTCCTTGCATGAGACTTCCGGGTTGACCGGGTTGAGGGGATGGTCCTCCAGGTAGAGCGGTTCCACCTGCCAAAAGACTGCCATGCTGACCACCACCGCCACCCCCACTTTGTTGCGCTGCTTTCATCATCTTCTTGTATTTACTCCTCCTGTTTTGGAACCAGATTTTCACCTGCAAGAAAAATTGTAACAGTTATGTTAGAGATAGATTTTTTTCATGAACGCGTGAACAAAAAGTCAGTCATCAAATTTTATTGTACATTCCATACTTTTTTTTGTCTAACAACGTCGGACATGATATTTCGAAATTCCAACAAATATGAATAATCTTATCAATAATAATTGAGCTGTTGTCCTTCATTTTGTCATAATGTGAAGGTAATTTCTGTTAATTTTTTGACGGTATTAAGATAAGCGAGAAAGATAAAAAAATTTTGTGGGAACGAAAATGTCGCGACAGAACGTTATATACATATATACTTAAATTATATTGAATACTCATTAAACGTTTATAAGCATTTACATCACATTTACGTTTTTACGAGTATATAACTTGTTATATTATTTTTTAAAACTATGCCGCCGAGGTAACCCGTCGTCGGGCTGCCCGACACGGAACTTCCGCCCCCTGTAACACAAACGCGAACCGGGAACCGTTTCAGAATTGCTCCGAATCTCGCGGCCGCGTTGCTGTCGTCGCCGCCGCGCCGCGCCGTCGTCGTGTTGCTGCACATGCAGCTACATGCGCCTGAATGGAACCGGCGTCGCAAATTGTATTAATCGTGCGAGGGAGCGGTATTGTGCGATAATGCATCTGGTGGCTGCTACGAGATGGGAAAGAGTTTCCAGACGGTGATTGCGCGTTCGATTCTACAGGCTCTAAGTCAAGTTGGGGGTCTGCTCGGAGAAAGGGAGGTGTATATAGTTCATCCCTGACTGTACACGTCACGTTTTCGTGATATTCCGCCATTTAGGAGCGTTCTGATTTTTATCGTTTCCGAAACTTTGTGTTACCTTGATACTATTCTTAAGCACGTTAGAGTTTTGTACTCATTAGCGTAAGTAATGAGATGTATTATATAAAGTATACTCATATTTATATTCATTCATGTTTATTAATTTTTAACACTCAATCCATGAAAAGGATTAGCGTAAAAATTCAATATGTTAATGTAATGTGAAAATATATTTAAAAAATTAAACTGTAACAAAATTTACAATATAAAGATAAAATTTGTATGATATATCGAAACCATTATTTGAAACACAATGATGTGCATTGGGAAGTACATGGACGCTCGCACTAAATTTCATCATGAAAGAGTGGCATTCCTAGGAAGAGAAATTTCTCAAGATGAAGTTAATTACGTTGTCTGTGTCTTTCGTGGTACATTTCCGAATAAATCACTTACTAGGCAGATTTTCGAGATTACCGTTAGTCGCAGAAAGAGAGCAACGGTGAGGCAAGCGGTTTCATCGTTGTCGGCGATACGGGCAGTGGCAAAGGCGTGATAAAAAACGCAGACCGCGAAAATTGCGTCGGATCATTAGTATTGTAATTACGGAGCAAAGTGGCGTTCGTGGAGATTGCGGCGGCGATGCGGTAAAATGATGGAGCAGCCCCGTCAAGCGCGCAATCATCGCGTACGTTCACCAGTGACATTCAATTAACGCCCGTTATTCACCCAATTAAAAATATGCAATTGTTCGCGAAAACATCGTGAGAACGATTCAATTGATCGACGGTAAATTGATCGAAAGCGCGCTCTTCTTAAATATTAATTAAATACGCGATGAGATTTTTTTTTCATAAATTTCTTTTTGTTTAATTCATATCGGTGTATATTTTATTTACGCAACTGTAAAGTAACATACCTCCTTGCATGAGACTTCCGGGTTGACCGGGTTGAGGGGATGGTCCTCCAGGTAGAGCGGTTCCACCTGCCAAAAGACTGCCATGCTGACCACCACCGCCACCCCCACTTTGTTGCGCTGCTTTCATCATCTTCTTGTATTTACTCCTCCTGTTTTGGAACCAGATTTTCACCTGCATGAAAAATTATAACAGTTATGTTAGAGATAGATTTTTTTCACGAACGCGTGAACAAAAAGTCAGTCATCAAATTTTATTGTACACTCCATACTTTTTTTGTCTAACAACGTCGGACATGATATTTCGAAATTCCAACTAAATCGAAATATGAATAATCTTATCAATAATAATTGAGCTGTTGTCCTTCATTTTGTCATAATAGTGAAGGTAATTTCTGTTAATTTTTTGACGGTATTAAGATAAGCGAGAAAGATAAAAAAATGTTGTGGGAACGAAAATGTCGCGACAGAACGTTATATACATATATACTTAAATTATATTGAATACTCATTAAACGTTTATAAGCATTTACATCACATTTACGTTTTTACGAGTATATAACTTGTTATATTATTTTTTAAAACTATCGTTGTTTATAACTATTTTCTCAAGTCGGATTAGAAGATTTGAATATTCATATACCTATTACAAGTTTTTTACAGCACACTTTTTACATAAATCATCTCATTCCTAATGTAATAACATGCAATAAATTGTAATACTTTTAATTTTCAAATACATCAATACTACTCATATTAAATATAAAATCAACAACGTTATCATAAATGCTAATAATTATTATTAATATTATAATTACGAAGCAAAGTGCCGTCTCACGTATTATGTTGTTTTATATCGTATCATTAACATGTCCATTTTTGTACCGTTTCCTTTTTCTTTGAACCATAAAGTTATCCCAAAAGAGGACCACAAGCGATTTCGTCGAGATGCGTCGCTCGATTATCGACGCGCGATTGGAAATATATTTCGCAACTGCGATGCGCGCAAAAGCGTACCTGAGTCTAATCCGATGCTTCGCATCATCGCTCCGTACTGCCGGGTTAGACGGTGAAGACGAAGGAAAAAGAAAAGAAAAAGAACGTTCGTCGTTTCGTAATCATCGTTTCTTTTGCCTCCTCGCTGCGATGCATAGAACCGCAGCGGCAGGCAGCTTCGTCGTCCTGTGGCGCGTATACCGGTGCGCACGCGCGACCGCTAGGATTGCACATGCGGTATTTTTTTTGTCTCAGCATCCGCACACATGCACCGCATGCACGTGACGCGCTGGCTCAATCTTACGTAACCTTACCGCGCGAAGTTAAGCGTGTACGTGTACAGCGAATACGCGAGGTGTACCCGACGTTGTGCACGGCAGCTCGAACCGAAGCCATATGTTTGGACATGTCGTCGGAATTGGTCCGCGCGAAAGAAATTCTACCGAGAGAGCGGCATATAAAACTTCTTTTTCTTCTGCGTGACATTTCCTTTCATATTTTATTTTTAAAAATCTGTTTTATTTAATTATAAGTGGAAATTAAACCAATAAGAACAAATCAAATAAGAGAGAAAAAAAATCCTATTTTTGGTCGAAGCGAATCTTTGCTGAATAATATTTATATGTAGACTGAAAAATAAGATGCAATTATAAACTAAAGTTGGAAACAATATTAACAAATTACATTGACTGTCAATTTAATAATAATGCTAATATAAAAACATCTTGAAATACTGCAAAAATTGTTTTATTTAATAAAAATCTTACATTTGACTTGACAATTATTTCTAGATGTTCGCTATCTTTTTCGTATATTATTCGCATCGATAGATCGTTCAATCTCTGCAAGAATAAAGTTCTTTTATCAACGAAAAGTCGATTTTTATTTTTAACTATTTTCCACAACCTTCTGTCCTTGACATATTCATGCTTTCGTTATTCCATCGATTTAGAAATATTTAGCTACACCGGATGACTTAGACGAAAACAGAGACATGCTTTTTTATTAATAGCACACCACGCCTAATGACTTTTTAACGAGCCTATCCGCTATACTTGTATAACCATTCGGGCTTACTCGATCAAACTTGATATTCCATCGCTACGTCGATCAAATGTTGCGATCATAAAACACGAGATGAATACAGTGAATACGTGCCTCTATTCACCAGGAACGAAGAATGTTTTTTTCATAATTAAAGATTACTCTCCTTTCATGGCAATCTTAGTCTCGCCGAACAATGCATTCACATGCGGTAGGAATGTAAATTATAAAATAAATTATAGCGTTATGTATGTACATATATATGGCTATCTATTAATTATCAAGCAATCAATAAAGAAACTTTTCATTGCAGAAACCCATGCAAGCGAAAAAGCAACAATTAAACGTTTTTATTGTTTTAGTCATCTACTGATTAGCATAACATTTACACGATCAATCTATCGAATGCATTGACGATATTGCATTGATAAAATACTCACAAAGCATGATAAAACAGTAAACGTGACTTTTGCAATTAGCACCTGAACTTGTTTTTTTTACTTTTAATTAACTCGTTTGTACATGATGTTGCTACTATTTCGCGATATATTTCAACCGTCTGACTCCCTATCTTCTAACATCCCCTACCGGCTGAGTGAAACGACTTAGTTAATTAAAGTAACTGTCCAGCTTGGATTGACGTCCAAGGAGTAAAAAAGTTGACATGAACACATATATATGCAAACTATAGTTTATTACGTAGTAAAGAAATAAGATTAACACGATAAGTGATGTAAGTCTCAACTAAACAATCGTAATCTTTTCAGTGATTATTTGACAACAATGTCAAATAAGATTTTTAAAAACGGAGAAAGAAATTTGAACATTTTGACAACTTTCACAATCGTCAGGTAAATCTCAGGCAATATTAGGCAAATAAAAGTGAAATATAGAAAAATATTTATATATAATCATACAAATTTGCAAATATCCTAAATAAAGAAAAAAATAAATTTTAGTTGAGCGATTAAAGATAAAGACAATATAACTACTTGATCAAATAGAATTCTCACTTTTCGCATATTTTTCTAAAATGTGAAATGATAGTCTCTAGGACGAATTGAAAATCGAGGGTTTAAGTTAATGGATTAATCGGTAGGTACAGTGCTTTTGCATTATACATATAAGCATTAAGAAACCTGAAATAAAACAGTTTCAGTTTTGCGAAACACGCATCGTCACACTTTGCCGTAATCTCGTCACCGAAAGAAATGTTTATACAAACGCACGCATATATACAGTCTCTGAATCCTACTTAATTTTAATGACAGATTTTTTGATTAATTTCAAATATTAATATTCTCTCGAATAAAACATCCAAATGAATTTTGAGTTTATTAATTTATTCAAGGCTTCTTGATACCTTTTCGGTTTGTTAAGACGTCACTTTATTTTTAAGAATTTATGATTTTGTCTAGGCTGCTGAATCATTTGGATATTTCTGTATTTGTATTTCTGAGGAGAATCCTAAAGTGAGTCGAAATGTTCAATTTCAAGATAGAATTAATTACGAAAATGTCATCCTGCCTGTAATGGGATAAAAGTTCTGATACAAAGTTACGCACTTTCTCATTGATCTTGAAATTCTTTGTTCATTGTATTTTAAATTTGAGAGTCCATATAATTGTTATAAGTTTATTTTGTATATTGATAAATTTATAATTAAAGAAATAACTATAACAAGCGATCAATACGAAATACAGTACATTCGATATATCTGTGAATATTTATTATTAAGAAAAATTGATTTTACTACTCCAAGCAGCTGTTGTTGGAAGATCCCGAGATACCCTACGCATATACGCGTTATTCATCGCGAAAAATATGCCGCGGCAACATCAGCAGCCCCTGGTCGGCGAGCGTGCGCCCGGCGTGCCGGCGCAAATAAATCTCTTTCTAATTGCTCGCTGAAAAACCCGGTTGCGCCGAGTAGAGATGGCGCCCGACAAAGGCCAGCAGCGCTAAAACCCGGTTTCGACGTACTTTATTTCGCTCAACTGGTCGGCCGGCCTAGCCAGCCGGGAAGAGCAGATCGCGCTCACCGGGCGCGGTGGTTTGTTTATTGATATTTACAACCGACGTTGACAGGGCACGACGCGCATCGACGGTAAGGGATGTGCCTTCGTTCGCGAGGATAATGTTGGCGGGGTTTACCTTTTTACGAACCGTCGGCGGCTTCTCTCTCGCGGGAATGGCATGCGGGATATATTTACGCGTGTCGGTGTGTGCTCGGCGCAAAGCTTTAATTAATATCTTTTTTCCAGGTGTCGTCAGAGTATGTTAGACACTCGTACGAATGTTTCTTTTGTTTCCTTATTTGGTGACCCCCCCCCCCTCCCCCAGGAGGGGGAGACAATTATTTTATTTATTTGCAGTAACTAAAGATGGGATATATATACACTATTCATTTTTTCGTGAATTATTTAGTAAAATATATATTTTTTTTAAATATTGTAAAAATTCTATGTCATCTTTTCCCAAACAAATATTTTACTTTTATATACAACATATATTTGTTGTTTATTTTAATGTATGTTATACATAGCTGTCTTATATACGATTATTTCAATTCAGTTGATAGAGAAAGTTTTGAAATGCGTGTGAAAATATAAAGTTTTGTGGTGCGAAATGTGATTCGAGATAATAATGACAGTTCTCTTGTGGTAGATATGACGACAAACTCGGTCGTCAGTGATTTATTACTGCTTGTACTACTCATTACTTCTGTTACTAACATTCTTTCTATCAAATCTTTCCCACAATTTGCGTTCTGCTTGAAAGAGAAAAATACCTTCTTTGAAAAATTTTAAGGTCATCAGATATATATACATATATCGACAAGATTCTAAATACAACGTTTCCAGAGGAACTATTTTAGAAAATTAAAAAATCTTTTATATATTAATTAATATTAAAGATTTTTTATCGCATTACACATATATATGTATGTAAAAAATATTTTGATGTTATTTTAAACACTTTCATAAATAATTTATTGTCGGATAATAATATAAGTTTAATCTTCATTTAATTCAAAAACTTGCTGTTCCATAAAAATTCTGATTATTTTCATACAGGCCACATATGAAGAAACCACACCGGGTGTTAAGAGTAACTGGAGAAATAAATCAAATT